GATAGGAAGGGGGCGAGGAGAGAGAGGAGGATGTGGAGGGGGTCATTGGTGGAGGGGGAGGAGAGGAGAAAATGGGTTATGGTGGAGAAATCCTAGAGGTGGAGGAGATGGTGAAGAAGGTAGCGGAGGACAGCGAGGGGGAGAGGGGAGGGAAAGGAGGTGAAGGATGGGGAGGGTGAGAGGAGAGGGAAAGGGGGAGGAGATGCAAAGATCATGGGTAAAATGGGTATTTTAAATTTTTTTGACTTAGATAGTGTTTAAGGTGTGACATTGCAAACTTGTAAAAACATGTGTGTGTGGTTTTGATCAAAATAAAAAATAAAGGTGGTAAGTATTAATCTGGACAAAAGTTAAGTTGGTTTTCATATAAAAACCCTGATTTCTAAGGAAAAGAGCATACATATTTGTTGAACCCAACAAAGGTGATGACAACAATTGGAAAAAGAAAATAAGGTAAAGAAAACAAAAGAAGAGTGTATTTGTAACATCATAAAAAGTAAAAGAATAGGCAGCTAGTGATAAGTTTAGGGCCTTCACCCCGACTAAACCAAAGTGCCAGCAGACTCAGGATTTCAAATTTACTATCATATAATGAGGACAATTAATATGTAGTAAAGAGGTTTCTACCTTCTACATCCAAATTTATAATGTGGTTTGAAAGTCATGCATGGAAATTTTGAAATTTAGATATAACAGCCTAGCATAGAAAAGAGAGATTTAAAGTTCAGGAAAATTTTGACTATGCCAACAAGGTCTACACTGCTTCAGAGGATTTCCGTCAAGTTGACTGCAATTCTAGAAATTTGGCTAATCCATGGTAAATGACCTCACTTTTTTGTGGTCATTTGCATGCAACAGTTGCTGCAAGCATAAAGAAAGGTTTCCTACATGTGCAAGCTTACGGATAGATATCAACAAAATGTAACGATAATTCCAATACCTATGCATATGTCCTTAGATTTATTATTGAATCGGTAACGCTGTCACGCCACCAGTGAACTAATAGCACACGTACCAGTAAAGATTTTTTGGGCCGACCACTTTTATAGTTTCCCTTGCCAAAGGTGCCCTCAGTTAGATGTTTGTCCAATAAAGCATCCTGTTAGGAAAGACATGTAATGTCACATCAGTACTAAAGAAAACCATAATAAAGAAGTTGCACCAGCATGTTTGGAAAAAATAAAACCAACAAATCTTAAAAATGTTATCACGGCATATGATTTTCTATAACTAGAAAAAGAGAGTAGAAATTCTAACTCAAGTACCTTCGCTGTGAATACATCCTTGCACCATTGAGCAATTTCATCATCTGTTTCAGGCAATTCATTCATTGCATGTCGTTTCATGTGGACATGAACCTGTGAATTTAGTTGCAATTTTTTAGAAAATAATGAAAATTTAATAGACATGATAGATATTATCTTCTTCATTTATTCCTTTTTAGCAAATTGCAAATTTTTGTCCAGCACGGATGACAGTATAAATACAGTGGACTTTAGTGAGCTTAACCATATTGCCCAAGAAACATGATTGTTCAGACGTATCATAAACAAGTATCGCATGTATCTTAGCATTATGATTAAGGTCCTCCAAGCCAAACATTTGCATATTGGTGTCAGTAGTTGGTTGCAAGGTGATGTTTAGCAGGGTCACCGTGAAAGATATAGTTGCATGTCAGAAAGTTTCTACCAGTTGGCTTTTAGGTTGTCCATAGAAGTCAATAATGACTATAAAATGATGTACATGAGAAATTTCGAGGTTCAGTCCAAACTTTGAACAGCCAAGAACTATTATAAGCATGTGCAGTTAGGGCCAAATCCAGAATTTTTTTCTTATGGGGGAGCATATACAGTAATACATATAAATTAATGGAATACATATAAATTAATAACTTGTATATTGCAAATTCTACAATTGGACAAACCTATTTATAGCATAATCATATAGATCTCAAAAAATAATATGTTTCATTATAATTTTTATACTAATACATTATAATTTTCATTTTTTATCACAAAGACTAATTAACTTCAACAATAATCCTCCATAATTATTCTTAAAATGGTCTCCTATTTTGTTGGCGTGGGGGCACTTATAAAAACATAGGGCACCTACATAAATATGAACACCCCTTAATAGAAAATTTAAAATTGTGTGGGTAAGTGCCCCCACACCTTTGGATATGAATCAGACCCTGTGTGCAGTGTTCAAAAAGGCTTGAGCAGCCACTTGATGTGGGAATGATCTGCATCTAATTGAGTAAATGAGCTCCATTATCCAGTCACCCGCATACTAAGCACATAATTAGTAATGCACCCACATGACTCTTTAATAAAAACCAAACCCGACCCGCTTATTGAAAATTAAAAACCCTAACTGGCTAACTCTATCTCTTTCTCTGTTGATTCGCCCAAACCAGCAATGCCTGCGATTTGTCCCCAAACTCTATCCCCTTCTCAAACCATCGCCGATCATCTCCTTCCATCTTCAATCATCTCCAACCATCACCAACCATCTGAGAGCTTTGCAGAAGCTCTCCGACATCTCCATGACTGCTCGAGCCTCGTGATTCTCCGACCATCTCCATGCATCCATCAATTTGACTGCTGCTAGAGAGCTTCATGATCTTCCACTGTTATTCCATCATCCTCCACCTTCGAAGCATGCAATCAGTAATCAGATTGTGAAGTCTCTTTTTTTTTAGATTTTGGATCTTAGACTCTCAATTATTGCTTTGGGTTTTTCGTTAAGAGTCGTTGCCTCCTTTTTATCTCTTTCACTCTTTGTACCTTTTTTTTTTTGGATCTCTATAGCTTGTTGTGGAGGGAGAGGGAAACGGGTGGAGGGAAGCGGGAACCAAGGGGAGAGTCAATTATTGCTTTGGGTTTTTCGTTAAGAGTCATTGCCTCCTTTTTATCTCTTTCACTCTTTGTACCTTTTTTTTGGATCTCTATAGCTTGTTGTGGAGAGAGGGATAGGGAAACGGGTGGAGGGAAGCGGGAACAAGGGGAGAGGATTTGGATTGGGTATGTAAAGATGATATTTATAGACAGATGTGGACTTTAGTACTACTGAAACTAGTACATTGCCAGCTCCAGAAGTAAAATAAGAGGAAGCAGAACAGGCCAATGAGGACGAAAGCTCGTTATGAATTGGGTGTTCAAGTTTAGATGTTTAGTTAACTATGATATAGATTGACATGTTGAGTAAAATTTAGCCAATTCTTTGGGAACTTGTTTTCTTATTTAAACTATTCAAATATGAATTTATTGAGTCTTTAAATCTTGATTTCTATAGTACTTTGAATCTGAATTGTGTGAACTGTTGAATCTAAACTTGTAAACTTTGAATCAGAATTTGTGCTCTTCTAATCTAAATTTGATAGTTGATAGCTTGATATGTCATATACTTATATGTTGTTTTTTTGTGTTCAATGTGTAGGATTTTAAATTTATATGCCATCATCAATGGCCTCTAATTCCGACATGGGCGACAGACCACAAAGTACTAGCGAGAAGCAAATCCCAGAGAAACGTCCCAATTATAATGATGTAGAATGAATTTATGGGAAGCTAGTACACAAAGGAGATAATGTAAGAAATGCAAGATCATTCGGGAAGGAATCAACTGACTTAAGAAGCACACTGTCAGAATTGGAGGAAATGCAAGTCGATGCCCACTTGCAACTAACAAGGAAATACGAGCTTGCCAAGAGAATTTAGATGGGATCAAGAAAAAGAAAGTGGAGTGTGAATTAAAACAAAAGGTCCGCATTTCAGAAGAGACAGAGAAAGAAGCACCCGAGCTTGATAATATTGGTTTGAAGAAAAGACGTACCTCCTCTCTGTTAGACAGGATAGTTGCAGATGGCAAAATGACGCAGACTATGATTAACGAGGCTAAGAAGAGGCATCGGAGGGATTTGGCTCATGAAAAATTGAGCATATGATCATATGCAGCAGGGCTTTCTTTTCATGTATTTGACAAAGAGGAATTTAATATTGCTTGTAAGACGATTGGGAGGTGTGGGCCGGGGTACAAGGGACCTAGTCAGTACCAGGTTAGGATTCCTCTTCTGAAGAAAGTATATGAGAAGGTTGATAAACGGTTGCTGAAGTAGAAGGGCTGGTGGGATGAGTATGCTTCAGCATCCTTACTGATGGATTAACTGATAGAAGGCATAAAAGTGTAATGAACTTGTGCGCCCACTGCAAGGAGGGCACAAGTTTTATTATCAAGTCTATCGAAGACTCAAGAGCATGCCCACACGGCAATCTACATTCACAAGTGGGTACAAGATTGAATAAGGGAGATAGAAGAATCTCGTGTTGGGTAAGTAGTTAGTGATAACAATGCTCAAATATAGCAACAAAGATCATGTTGAAAGATAATTACCCGAATATATTTTAAACGAGTTGTGTCGCACACACGATTGAGTTGATGTTGCAGGATATTGGGAAGCTTGCAAAATTCAAGACCATAATGAAGAATGCAAGGAATCTCAGTGTTTATCTACACGCATCATAGTACCCTTTCTTTGACGCGTAAGTTTACTAGGAGGGAGCTTGTTTGTCTAAGAGCTATGAGATTTGCCATTTCTATAGCCTAACTTATCTAGTGGAGAACAAGCCACGATTAACTACTATGGTCGCTTCATCTTAATAGAAAGAGAACAGATAAACCAATATAGCAAAGGGATTAGCTACCAAGACTATAGTCTATTTCAATGTTGTGTAGAAGGATATACAGCTGTAAATTAAAATTTATGCTCCTTTTTCAAGCTGGTCAGGATTGTCGATACAAACAGGCGACCTTCCATGAGATTTGTTGCTGGATGATACTAGGATTGAGATAAAATCTGCTTGAACAGTAAGGAAAATGTATATCGACCGATTATTGACAAGCATGCAACAAGGAGGCTAGACAGTTCACTACATTTGACAGCTTCCTTTCTCAATCCCTATTACTAGTATCAGAATAAGATGGTTCACAAGACCTCAGGTACTAGGAGTGTTGTTTACCATTGCCTTGATGTTTTCTTCTCGAGGATGAATCATGTGCAAGACAAGATTGCACAAAAAGAAATGGTAAGATACAAAATGGCAGAAGGGATTATGAGAAGTGTATTGTCTAGACGTAACTATATGAGTTTCAACAGTACTGATTATCTTGACCTAGGTATAAGCTCACTTTTATATATATATAGTCATCTAGTGGCTTAGTAATGTGCTACGTACTAAATATACACTTATTTCAAATTAGCAACCCATTGGTGAGATAGTTTTAACTCCGCCAGTGTTGTTTGTCAGCACTGCCTGTCCTAAGCTAGGATAAAGGAGGGTTGTGCTAGATAGCCGACTGCCAACGTAAAACATGGTCGGATCCACATGTAAAATGAATCTTATTATATACTCGTTGGGGCGTCCCCACCGTGACGTGTTGCATCGATTCTACCCCAATGCAATGATAAGTAAGCAACGGTGGTCCCCAAAAGCGACGTATTATATCAATGTCACCCCGGTGTAATGACAAGTAAGCAATGGTATTCTAAGAATCTACAATCCTCTAATAAGGTATCTAATAGTATTAGACATAGACTAGAACGGTCTAAGAGAGAAAATGGTAGGAGACTTTTACAAGAAAATAGATTTAGACTAGCTACTTAGAATATAGATACACTTACCGGAAAGACAATAAAATTAATGAATGTCATGATTAGAAGAAAGATAAATATAATTTGTTTACAAGAAACTAAATGGATAGGTGAAAATTTTAGAGAAATTAAAAAGACCGGATATTTTGAAACCATGTGCCCTTTTCTCTTCTTATCCTTACCTCACCCAGTTCTTGTAGATAATATAATAAAATAAAGTGTTCTAGATGCAAGAAGAGCTGAAGATAGAATAATACTAATAAAAGTTATCTTAGATATGAAGGTTATTAATATTATTAGTACTTACGCACCACAAATAGGCTTGCCTGAGAGTACTAAAAGAAAATTTTGGGATAGATTAGATGAATTAGTATAAGGAATCCTATTTGGAGAGAAATTACTTATAGAAGAGGATCTTAATGGGCATGTTGGTAAGGATAATAACGGATGTGAGAGGATACATGGAGGTTTCGGATATGGAGATAAGAACGATATGGGTAAATCAATTCTAGAGTTTGCAATATCATATGATTTGATAATAGCAAATACACTTTTTAGAAAAAGGGATGCACACTTAACAACTTTTAAAAGTGATTTTAATAATAGTCAAATAGAGGTTGTAGATTAGACGGTAAGGAGAGTTGGAGGTGGAATGAGTGTGCAAAAGGTTATTAGAGAGAAGAAAACTTTATATAAAGAGTGGCA